TATTAAACTTGTCTCTAAACTACTGGGGAAGAGCAGAAGTAGGAAGTATTTCAGCAACTCGCACTTTAACATGCTAAGTTTAAGGAAATGAAGACATTCTTCAGTGTATGCATAGTCCCAGGCACAGACTTGTCCTTGATACAAAACTCCAAACACAATTTTAAAAGATAGTCTCCCTAGTCCTGATTACTGCCTAGCTGCACTAGGATGATGCAGATCTCTGGATACAAGCACTGTCTATAGAAGCCTATCTGGCTTCAGGATCCTCTTGCCAAGGGAATGAGGTCTCATCCAAGGCATACTTGCAAGCACTCACCTTTCCAGGACACAGTACTCCAAGGACATGCATCCCTCAACCTGACAATGAGCAAATGTGCCCATGAAAGAACGGCAAGTGGGAATCAACAAAACAAGGCCAGAATCATTCCCCAAAAGAACCAACATGTATTTTCTCTGACCAGAACTTCATTGCCTACTTCTCTTTCAGAAAGCACAGCAAATACTCCAGGCAGCTTTAAAAATCAACTTCCCTTTAAAAATCAAGCAGAACTCTTGAACAGCAGAACAAGCTTGGCAGAGGGACTGTAGATGTCTGGCTCACTGGCAATGATGAAAAAGCAGGGCTCTTCTCCTACAGCCCATATGCACGGGACACCAGAATGGACAACACCTTTGTAGAAGCCAAACCAGAGACCTGACAGCTTTTTTGGCATTTCTTCAGGACAGTGAAGCCAAAAAACACACACACTCATGAGCCAGGATGGCGCGGGTTTAATGGGAAAAACAGCAAGCAAGTTTTGTTCCACTCAAGCTCCAAGTTCAGTTGGGGATTGCCAGCATTAACACACTGGTCACCACACTCCAGCTGCAGTGGCTGAGCAGACACCTCCTCCCCACACCAAGGGCCAAAGCAGGAGGTGGGCACTGATGAAGCCACAGCAAATGGCACTGCTGAAGCTGTTCTTGCCCTCTTAAGGGGCAAGAGCCACTCATTTCTTTGTGAGAAAGACTCTGTGGCTTCCTAGCCCGTGGCTCAGAGCCTTTCCTCTTCCCCAGACCCATGTAGTTGATAACCTCTGTTTTTCCCTGGCATTGCATCCAAGCTCCCAAACAAAAGGAGACATGTCATTAAGAGCAAAGCCTCAAACTTTTCCCTCTGGAAGCAAAGGATTTTATTTAAAATACACAAACCAGATATCTAGTATATAAAGCAGTTATCAAAGATCAAAGTTCCAGACATGTTAGGCTCAGCTCAGGAGCACAGGCATCTGCGAACCCTGGTTTCAGCTGTTACACTGCTGATAGTACATGACCATACTTACAACAAAGAGGATTGAACCAAAAAAGACCTTTTAAATCAGCCCAGCTGGTGACATATTCCTCAAAAACTCTGACAAGATGTAACTGTTTCAAAGCACATATACCAGCATGGTGCAGGGCACCTCTCCAGTTGCTTCCATGGCTTCCTTAGCACTCTGGAAGATGGTGCTGGCTTTGTTCAGACACTTTGCTAAGTCCTTTAGCAAGCCCTGGGTGTCTGTGTGTGTCTCCCACGAGTACTCCTTCTGTGGGACTCATGCTGTAAATCTTGGTATTGCTACAGCAATTTCCCAGTCTAATCACATGCCTTGTTGCATTACCACAGCAGTGATAGCTGGTTGAACCACACACCACATCCTTGCAATTGTTTCTATTACTCACAATTGACTTATTTATTAAATTTCAGTTTGCCAAGCCTTGCCAGGAGATGAGCAAGAACCCTGTCACCCCTCCTTGCTGTTGATCAGAGTGGCAGAAGGCAGGTGAGTAGGCTGCAAGTCTGAGCTGTGAAACAGTCCCAGCAATTTTGTAAGTTCATGCTTTCTCCAGCAGCCAAGCTCCCTTGCATCTACACACTAGGGCTTGATTCCTGGGAAGCAAAATCTTGAATTGCAACAGAAATCAGAAGGGAAAGTAGATGCAAACAAGCACTGAATTAATTTGGGATTTTAGACCAGTATTTCCATAGACTTGCTTGCTTGGCATGGCACCAGGTGCAGGGCCCACACCAACCCTTACTTGCAGATGTACCTAAGAGCCATCCATAACAGCAAAGTGAAGTGCCTCTAGATGCAAGGAGCTCCTCTTGTGGGGGATTTCCTAGGCTTGGAACAAACAGCCTGATAACTTCTGGCTGCTTCAGAGGCCCAACCCACCATCTCATGCCTCACAAACGCTCCTCTGACAAAAGACTTTGACTCCTTCCTTTCAAAGGGGAACAAACAGAAGGCAAGTTCAGACAAGGCTCATGGCTGCTTGCCCAGCCAGGCCTCAGCTAGTCCTTCATAGTAAATATTTGTTCTTAATTACACTGCCGTTTGCCCCAGGAGCTTGCCTGCAATCTGTAGGAGGGAGGGGGATTATGTTGTTGATAGGTAAATAATAGCTCTTTCATCCAGAGAACCCAGTGCATTTTCCAGAGATGAAAGCCTCCTGAATGCTTTCCCCATAGGTTAGGGTAAGGATTTTAAATCTTTGTCCCACTCAAGGACATGCCAAAACCTCCCACATTCGGTTCAGAAAGAGTGAGCTTGGAGCTCCACTGTGACAGCTCCCTCTCCAGCCTTGCTTCGAGCTGGAGTCGAGGGGGAGAGGCTCAGCTCTGGAAGCGTGGGTTAGGCTGGGGTCTGGTCAGCCACTGGAATGTGACAGGAGGACAGAGTCTGCTGCTGACCAGCAGCACCCAGCACATACTGCTCTCCATGTTCTGTCATGCCTGCTCATCATCCTGAAGCCAGGGATGAACTCCATCCCTCTTGGTCCCCATGTCCTGCTTCTGCCCAGCTCACAGCCATGCTGCTTCCTGCCCAGCTCCTGTCTCGAGAGCTCCCAAGGTAGGGCGAGGCACTGTCCAAGCACAGAGCAGCCATGTGAAGCAATCCCACAGACAACATGTGGGAAGCAGCCAGTTCTCACTCTCCACAAAAACCAGCAAGTGTGAGTTTTGATCTTCTGGCACTCAGCTTCCAAAACATCAAAATTACAAATATTTATCAGCAGGACTAAAGGAAATGTAAGTGAGACAGCAGGACCTCTGCTCTGTCTGAGGAGGAAGTGAGAAGTGACTTCCTCCCACCCACCATGAGAAAACCTCTCTGACTCTGGGAGGCATTCCCCCTTTCCCCAAGCCACCAAGCTAATGTCACTGACAAAGCATCCAGCAACTCAGAGTCAAACTAACTTCAACCACACATTACCCATTTCTTCCATAAAGAGGAAAACCAAACAAAAACAGTAACAAGAAAACCTCAGGCAATCAAAACTGGTATCTGACCATGGTACAGCTCCTGCATTCCTAATCCCCTCCCAGTTACTGAGCCCAGCACAGAGCACAGAGGATAAATGCCTGTGAATACCAGAAACAAAAGGAGCCTTCAAATGCTCTGAACTTTTATGGGAGAGCCAGACATGCAGAAGTCTGACACTATAATATTTAAAAATCTAAGATAAACTGCACTCCTTTCCTCCCACATTCAGCCCATCATTCACCACAGATTTTTTGCAAGTCCCAGACAGACAGAAGCAGTTACAGGACTGATGCTGCACTTCTCATGCTCAGGAAAGCAACACAAACCCTCCAGCACCACCTCTGCTCTCTTGCCCTCCCTGTCTTATCATGTACAAGCAGATTTGCCAGGCTTGGATTTGTTCCTCCTTCTAAACATCATCCAGGCCTTTTATTTTTCTTTGCTCTAAACTCTGCTTAAAAGAAAAAAATATTGTCATTCTCTGCTCCCAGCTGTAAAGGGCTGACCTGAAATCTGTTGCCAGCATGCAATAAATATTTGTACGGTTCCATTGTAACTTCATTCATCTCTCTACTGCAAAACTTGAATCATTTAGCATTTCCCCCCTCTTACCCAAGGGCTTCAAGTTCCTAGACAGAAATTTAATGAAGCCTCTGAAAATCCCCAGTCCAATATCCTCTGTTAACACCCCCGTATTGAGCTGGAGCTTTTCAGCTTGACCCACGTATGAAATCATCTGTGATGAGAGCAGCAGAAAAGAGGAAGATTTGTTCCATGCATCCTCCCCTTTACAGCCCCAACACCATGAGAGTTCAGACAAATGGTTCATTGGATTGTGCCCAGTAAAGGACAGCACTGGAGCTACGGGACCAGAAATGTAACTGGTGTCAAGTCTTTCCTCTGGTATGTTGCTGTGTCCTACCCACCTGAATCGCTTTATTACATCCTTTAGATGTTGACTTTGCTTCCTGCCACTAAATTCGTCAGACAGGCTTCCTTGCTATTATGGTAGTTACAAGGTACATGGTTAGAGGCATATTTTATAGTGTGCCTAAACAAGAAGTTAAACCTATAAATCTATGTAAGAAGCACATTGCATTTAGAATAAGAAGTGAGCAAGGAGGGAACTCCTGAAAGGCCACTTTCAAACCATCCTTGTTTATCCCTGACTGAGGCCAAACCTTTAACACAAGTCTGCCAACAAGTCCTAAATCACCTGTAGCCCTAAATCACCTGTAAAAGCAAAAGGCACCTTAAAACCAAAAGCACTGGTAGGTCTGTATTTCTTGCCAAGAGTCCTACTCCAAAGCTTTCCAAAACTAAATCACCAGCTTACAACCTTGTAAAAGATGAAAAATCTTGGATTTGAGGTTAATATGTATTGCTTCTTTTGAAAGGGGAGTGAAGGCAGCCAGGGTGCATAAATATGTTTACATACAAAGGGTTGAATCCTACAGAGAAATTTCCAGCAAAACAAATTACTTTCAGTTTAATGTTTTGGGTTTTTTTCCTTTTCTGATGCAGGACAAACCACCTTTAAATGCTAGCAACAAGAAGGAAGGGTGTTTCTCCTAACTCTGCTCTCTAACACAGATGCAGAGTACTGCTGGGGAAGCAGAGAACAGGGTTGAGTAGATTTCTCATCAAAACCTGTAATCCTGAAAAGAACTATTAGGCAACTGCTGCTGTTGGTGACTTCTGGAGTGAACTCACCTTGAGACCAAAGCAAAAAGCCCAGGCTCTTGATCCTTAAAAGTCCCTTGAAATAATGAGAGGAAGGATGCACATATATTTAAGTTAATTCATTCAGAGTCTAGGTGCACACCCCCTTTACCTTCAGCCATACAGAGCATAAATATTCACCAGGGAATGGAGCAGGGCAGGGGAGACCAGAAGAAACACTGCACATCTTGTGAGTCACAGCAAGACATAACAGAGGATTCATTAACTGGATTCAGGTGATCCTATTAGCTTTGCAATTGCTGCACATCAGGCTGCAGAGTAATTAGGGCTGCAATTCAGAAAGATTTACCAGAACATTTTTTATTAAAACACAGTGGTTGTTAATCAGTCTGACTAAAGCCTTCAGAGCTATTAGCCTGCTGCACAGAAGTCGTAATTACTTCATCCACTGGGGAAGAAGGCATCAAAGAAATTGCCTGGGATCATCTGCAGGTTTAGAGGACCAAAGGAAGACTGAGGAATTTAATGGGACATCTCCCTTTGGCATCACCACAGGTTTTTGATCAAGTTTCCAAGTGGAGCATTTGAAAGGCCATCAGAGTATGTAAGAACATCAAGCCTACACAGGAAGGATTTGCCATCGGAAGTATGCCAAGGCAACACCCAGATGTATTAGTTGACTCAGAGTTACTGTATAAGTCCTAATTACTGCCTAAAAGTTTAGTGGTCCACCTGAATTACATGATCTCTATCTGCTGAGGATGTTTGGCCACCCTGCAGCATCTCAGAGAAGCAGGGCCCACATTTCCTCTTCCGGAGGTAGAGCATTTTTCAGTACAGATAGACTCAACCACTCCAGAGAGGGGTAAAGGGCATCTCCTACCACAGCAATGAAGCACCATCAAAACTCCTGGGTTTCCCAGTGTACAGCCAGCCATGGAGTATCAGGATACATTCCAGCTTCAGTCCCTGACCTGACTTCCATCAGGTTAAGGCAGGTTTGATTCAGGTGACAGACAACTGGCCTCAACTCTGGCCACAGGACTGATAAAGAACAAAGTATCTGGGCACCTTCTGCCTGGCCCTGCTCTGCTTCCCAGACACTGCACACACAGCACTGCACAAGAGCAGGGCGGGCAGAGGCACCAACACAGGCCAGAGAAGAAATTACTTCCCTCCCCATTTCTGCAGACCAGACTTGGTCAGTGTAGCACAGGGGGCTCTGCGAGTCAGGCTGACCCTCCTCTGCCACCAGCAGTGCCCATCCCCTTTTCTAACCCACTTTGCTCAGAGATTTACTAGCAATACACAGAATATCCTTTCCCAGTTTTACCCCCACCATAGCAGCTGGGAGGCACACTCCTGCAGGGAGGGACCCAGCAAGCTCCACTGCCCAGCTGATAGACCATGAGACCAAACTGTGATAGCTCCTCCGCAGGGAACCCTGCCAGACCCTCCAAAACCAACACCCTCGCCCATATTAAGCAATGCAGTTTATCAACAGTCTAAAGGGAAGCTCAGAAAGGAGAACATGATAAAAATGCAAGTGGAAATACGTGTGCACACACTGGCTGTGAGGACACAGAACTAACACTGGGGCAATGACAAGTAGCTAGCCAAGATCTGTTTGTTAACTGGGCACCTTCAGAAGAGATGCTGTGACTTATATGCTCTGCAGAGCCAGGAGTTTGATGGATTCTGAATAATTGCCCCAGTGCCCAGGCTGGGCTTGTGTCAGTGGGAATAGCCCAGTGGACTTCTGACAGGGTCTCTCAGAAATGTCCTGCTCAGACACACAGCACAGAAAGCATAAAGGAGTTTCTAACCTGTGCAGGCTTTACTTCTTAGATGACTATTCCATTTTAATAAGTGAGCTAAATTAACATGTTAAATATCTTACTGTTCCAAGGGGAGAAGGTAGGGGAGGTTTTGCCAGCTTCCCGTCCTTGAGCACTTCAAACACTTTTTCACATCCGCCCTACAGGGAAGCCTGTACAGTGTCCAAACCTGGGGTAGGCTTTGCATCATTAGCCATGGGCAACACCTAGCACAGGACTAATGATGTAATGCAAATAATGAAACATAAAATCATGGTTGGCAGTTGATAGAAGAAGGGAGTTGGTTGGAACAGCTCATAGTGACAGTTTGTTCTTCCTTTGCCCTAATTCAAGTTGCAGAGAGGAAAAGTGCTGTCCTGCCTAGCTGTGTCCCAGTGCAGCACAGACAAGGACCCCTTCAAACTCCAGACCAAAGAAATTCCTTGATGACTGTCTGACCAACTGCAGGGGATAATTGCCTGGCTCTGATCTGCTGACATCCTGCTGGAAGGGGTTAAAAAGATTTTAAAAAAAAGACACCCCAAGGACTTCTCAAGGTTTTTTTTCAAGTAAAGCAATAAAAATAGATCTGATCTTTATAAACCATCAATACTGAGCTTAACTGAACATTTTGCTCCACTGCAGCTGGACACTAGACCTTGGTATACAACTTGGAGCCAAATGCTCATCAAATGATTGAACTCCTTTGTCAGTTAACAAATAAACCAAAAACACACTTCAGTTTTGATGACTCTACTCATTGTGTTCAATTACTCAGTTTAAATATTTCAGCTAATGGTTAATTCACCAATTTTTGGTTTCCCAAATCACATGGTGACTTCCCAACATAAGATCACATAAATCACATTAAATTTGGATTCCAAGAGGAAACAGACTTAAGGAACTTGCTTTTCTAGACACTATTTATGGGTTACCTAACCACTGGTTTGAGGGTCCCTTCCATAATCACTTTTTAAAATCTAGGCCAGAATTCTCTTTTATTTTAAAATTGAAAGTTGTGCAAAGGTTTCCAAATTACAGACTCATTCCAGTGACACTGCTGAGAATAAACTAATAACATTCCCATAAAGCTCTTAAATTTAAAGTGGTGCATACACAGCCGGAAGCCCTCCGAGCTGTTTTCCTTTGAATCCTCCTGAGTTGTTTTTTCCCTGAAGGCTTCATTGAGATTTACTGGACATAAATAAAAAAGTTAAACATTTCTTCTTCTAGTACATCACATCAATTGATACTTGACTTACAGACCTTCCAGGCCTAGAAAGTTTTGCATTCTTAAGGGACTATGTCTCCAAAATGAAGCTTTTTTTTTGGTATGTTTTCCTGTTTAGGCTTTCATTGTGTTGCAGTTGTAGTTAGCTTTTTTTTGTTTCCATGCACAGCAAGAAGCAATTTCAATTAACATATTACAATTCCTGTAAATTTTCTCTACTTGGGGAAGGTAAACAGGAGGTTTATGAGGCAGAAGAAGAATAAAAAAACAGAATAAGGGTTATAAAGATGAAAAGTAAACAGGCTAAGCAGCTTCTTAAAAATCCTTCGCACAGAAGACACCTGTCTTCCAGCAGGCACAGGAGAAGCAGTGACATGGAAAAGCAAAAGGGGATACTGAGACCCAACAGCAGCTCAAGAGTTTGTGAAAAGCCATTGGCTTTTATCAGAAAGGCACGCCAACAGCAAAACCACCCGTTCCTCTCCGCCCGTGTCTGCAGGAAACATGATAAAAACCTTCACCAAAATATAAATAAGGAGTCAGGACTTGCCAGCTTGTTATTTTTTCTGACAGCTGTGCCAGAGGGGTGCTGCCCAGGCTCTTGTCCCTGCTAACTGGGGCACCAGAGATAGTGGAGGGCAAAGATGGTGCCCACCCTAAACTCACTGTTTATTCTGGAGCTACGCACTTCAAGTCTTGTTTAGAGCCAGCCAGGAAGGAGGAAGACAGACAGACTGGAGGCTGTGCTCTCCATTCAAAGCTTTGCTCTGCTCACCAGGAGCATCTGAATGCAGGCAATTGAAAGTGGTTCTCTGCTTTTTGGTGTTGTTTGTTGATCTGTATTCTTGTCTGCCGTCCCTGGTAATGGAGCACACAGCAAAACTCCCCACTTTTCCCACTCTGCTCTTCCAAACAGCAGTTCCCCCAAGCTCCAGCACTGAGTGCTCAGCCAGGAGAGGCCTCCACTTTCAGGAAACAGATTACTTCCACCAAAGCTGCCTTAGTAGCAAGTTTAGTGAATGAAGAATGCCCTAAGGAGAAAGGAGACAAGTGAGAGTTTGGCACAGAGCATCCACCCCGCCCTGCTCACTGAGCACTTGTCCCTCCCAGTCCTGTGAAGAGCATTTATCAGGGCTGCACCAGAGCTGGACCTGGAAGTCAGCCTGTCCTCCAACCCCACCCCAAGATCCTCCTGTGTGCTCCCCATCTCCCCTTGGCCAAGCCTTCTCTTCTTTAGTGCTTCCTACAGGGCAGGATGCTGCTGTCTGCATTTCTCCAGGGAACACCTTCCCAGGTAAGGATCAGTATTCCAGCAGTTGGGTACTCTGGCCTGACACCTTACTCCTATGTTCAGAGGAGGCTTTGGAGAAGAAGGCTGGGCCATGAGGTCATGGTATGTTAAAAGCTCAGAGCTCAATCTTTCTGCTGGTGGCTTGGACCAGAGTCTGTTCACAGCCAGTGCAGGACATCCCTTTCCATCTGTCCCCTGCCTGGCTGAACACCCTGTAGCTGGTATGTTCCTTCCACAGCCAGCAGCACATGGACTCCCCTTCCTGCAGCAGACCGGATCCAAACAGTACACACAAAACAAGAATTCTTGAATCTTCTTCCTCCAGCAAGCCTCAACTCTCACTCCAGTTCTTCCATCTTCCTGAAATCCAGTGCCATGCCAGGTGACTCAGAGCTCTGTGGGAATGTTGATCCCTTCAGCCTCACAGCTCTTCACTGCAGGCTGTCACCTGTAAGGGGTGAAATGCCACACCGCAGCACCTGGTCAGCAAAGCATTCCAACAGCCACACTGCAGAAAACCCAAGGTAAAAAACCAACGACAAGGCCAGGCTTTGAGCTGTGAGAAGGAGTGGAGCATCTGACAAGGACTGACAGTGAACTCAGTGACCAGGCACAGCATTTCAGCAGTGACCGTGGAGAGCCCAGTCAACGTTTCCACACTAGACTGGTGACCAGGCAGTATTGAAGCACCACTTATATAATTACAAGGTTAATAGATGTTACAAGCACATTACTAGGTGTCGTGACTTGCTGGAAGCACATCCCAGAAGATAGCAGAAGCAATTACACTCTGCTCACTATCCAGCTGTATCAACTACCTGTAGGCACTACTTAGCAACCCTTTATGAAAGGAAACTTAGCACAAAGATGATCTGCTGTGCCCACATCACTGTGTATGTCCTCTGAGCCAACCCTGCTCCCTGACAGAGTTTATCTTAAGCAGAGCCCAAAAAAGAAACCCAAACCAGCCACCAGAGTCAAGCTGTGGACTGTCTGTAGTGAAGCTGAACCCTTGGATGACATAATCTGCCAT